TGGTCGAGGGTGGGTTTTAGGTTGCATTTGGCATTTAGGTTTGATTTGGAGAGTTGGAAAATGTTGTGTTGTGGCTAGAGTGGAAGGTGATGTTATGTTTGAGAGGTTAAAGTGAAGAGGTAGGTTGCAGGTATGTGGGAGGGGGCAGGAGTGGAGGGGAGGGGAGGACATAAACAAATCTAGAATAAAGTAAAGCAATGATTTTGATGATTAATTAGCTAAACTAACAGGGGTGGTTACTTCAAGTGGAATAATATGCCAAAAATATATAATCATAATTGAAATGAAATGAATTTTTTTCTGTCCAATTTATTTTAACAGTCTGACTGGAGTCACAAGTGTTTAATTAAACAGTTTTCATTCTTGGTCATTTTACACAATAAAAAATATCAGCGTTGTCCCTTTACAAACAAGATTTGAGCCGCGTCATGACAAAACCAACATAATGGGTTTGCAACCAGCATGGATCCAGACCAACCTGCGTATCCACGCAGTCTGATCAGGATCCATGCTGTTCGCTATCAGTTTCTCTACTTGTAATAGAGTTGGTGAGCGAACAGCATGGATCCTGATCAGACTGCGCGGATGCGCAGGCTGGTCTGGATCCATGCTGGTCGCAAACCCATTATGTTGGTTTTGTCATGACGCGGCTCATTTTTTGCTTCAAGTCTGTAGTGTTAAATACCCACATATGGTGAACAGGTGGCTATGAAATATTTGATACAAATTAATCTTTATTTAACACTTTTTTGACAGGAATTTACACCTACATCAATAATCTGTTTACATTATAACATAGATAATCCCATTCCTCCACTGTTAATGCATGGCGGAGATTAACTTTTGGAGGTCTTGACTGGGCTATACCGGCTGTAACTTTTATATTACCCGTTACTTTTATTAAAATCTTGTGAAGTATTTATTAGTCATTGAAATTTATATACTTCACGTTTGATATTTCCCATTGATAAAAGAGGTTAGCTTGTTATTAGAGCACTCCCACTTTTCTAAATTCTAAAAATGGTGAATGAAATTAAAAAAATCAATTCTATCAAAGGGAGATGATTGTGTACAAGTTATAAAAAGATAATGTGTAAAATATAAAAAGTAAAAATACAACCGCCCCATTCATCCTCCCCCTTCCCCCTCAAAAAAATAAAAGAAAAAAAATAAAGGAAATTTTAAAAAAGAAAGAAAAAAAAGTAAAAACCACTGAAACAAAACAAATGTTTAAATTTAGCTTCAGTATTTTGGTTTAGAAGTTGTAAAATCACATGTAAAGTTTTATAGGGCATCACCATGAATAAGTTTTGTATTGCTTGCAATACTTTGAAAATTGCTTGTTTGAATAATATAAATTATTTCCTAGAATAATCAAAAAAAATCTTATTTCCTTATTGGTAACCCTAACCGTCACCCTAATTGGTATGAATTGGAATCCAAAGCTTATTTCAGATAAAAATTCAAGAATAATATTTGAATTAAATTAAATTTGCGAGTCATTGGAAACATTAGGAAGAAAGGAATATTTTTGCTTCCTCTCTGCGGTGGGTAACGAGAGACAAATTGTCAGCTGATCGCTACCTCGTGCCGATCTCGCTCTCATATTGATCCGTCTATTGTCCAGACTCCGGTGTCCAATCATTAAAACAACAATATTCTCGGCAACAAAACACTAATTTCGCTATTTTCTACCTTTTATGACAAAGTTCCGCCATCTCGAGTTTATCTGGTTGGGATATTAATGCGCGATTAATTCTGGCAGAAATTTGATTTGCAGTACAGTATGCGGAAATAAATTTTGTATATTGCAAACAGAATCTTTTGTTGGCCCATTAAGTTACTCGGAAACAGAGGGTCGACTGTTGATTCCTGGAATTCGTTATTTAATTCTAGAACTTACTGAATTTTCTAAATGGATTTGTCCCACTTCAATTTTGGAACAGTCCATAATCAAGTTTAGGGATATCAAGATGAAACTTGGATTTGGTTAAATTTAATTCCCGAACCTACTTAATTTTCTGAATGGAATTGTCTTACTTTGGGAACAATCCATAATGACAGGCTGGCTGATCTTCTTTTAGCAAAAGCTTGATAGTTTTCTGGAATTTTCTGGATGGATTTGCCCGGACAGTCCATAATCAATTTAGGGATATTAAAGTTGGACAAGCCGTCTGAACTTCTTGTAGCACAGGCTTTGTAATTTCAAAACTGAGTATTGTAAGGTTAAAAGTAAAAAACAAACTGTTCTTGTTACTTTTTAACGATAAAAGGGTTGGACATGTGCAGAAAAAATCATCTGCAATGGACTCTATAATATTTCAGTCAGTTAACTTTTCATCAGAATCCTTAAATGATTTTTTCTGACCAGCGTTGACCTGCTTGAAGTGTTACTGTTTAAACCTAAACCAAATAAGATTGGCTACCTGTTGATTTAAAATTCTTCTTTATCAAAGTGGACCTTTAACTAGTCTGGACTGGGAAAAAGAATCTTAACCAAAAATGTAAATGTAAACTTAGTGTAGGGAGATATCAAAGTTGAGTCATTTTAAACTAATTTTGTGTATTTTGGGGGTATATAGTGTCTTTAGACGATCTTAAAACCCAGTAAAACACCTGGCAGTGTCGAACAAAGAAACCCGTCTGCTGCGAGACTGGTCTATCTTGTGTAAAACAAATCCTTAGATAAACCAGTCTGGTAGACCGGGGATTTTCAAGTTTACATGCCCGATTTAACATTTCAATCAAGGTTTAATGCAGATACTTTACCCTTTTGAAATGTTTATTTTTTTCTGTCCTTAAAATATAATTTTTGAGATAAAAATCAATTACCCTATTCAAAGCCAGTATTGACACAGAAATTTTTTTCTTTCAAATAAAAAACAAAATTAGCGCACTATTTAATTTGCGAAATTTTAACGAAATTTCAAAGGCAGATTTTACAGACGGAAACTTCAAAAAGAAGTACCAATATAAGTTAATACAGTGTTTATAAAAAGCCAAGTCATTTTAGGCGATCATAAATTAATCGCTAAGTTTGAAAACGTGTCACTTTATTGCTATTGCGTCAAGTATAATTAAAACTTGTCATTTATAATTGGTCGCTAAATTGTAACTTGAAATAAGTATATAACGGATTACAATATTACCACCATGGGCGAACATGTAACACGAATATTCATAGCTGTCAATTTAATTCTTATAATAGACACATCATTTCCCTTTGATGTGTGTTAAAACAGCTTTGTTAAAATTTTATAGATAAATTCTGTATTTAAAAACCTTAAAATATTTTTTGTTTGTTTTTCTTTGATAAGCATATTTTCTTCAAAATTAGCAAGTCATTTTAATGATTATCCAAATTTGGTACTGGTTGGAAACTTAAATTTTTTTTCCAATATGCCTTAAGTTAAAATTAAGAATTTGATATTATTTAAGACGAGAATATCTTATACAGACCAGACATCCTATTTGTAGAGATATTTTCATTAGCGAATACTTAGAATTGAACCGTTTTTGATTTTTCCTTTCAAAGACCAACAGTTTCTGATCATGTTATAAAAGACGCAATATTTTTTTTTTTATTATTTTTTTTGTTGCCCTCGGTTTTTCTATTTGCAGTCACCTTTGTGGTAGATCAATATGTAATATTATGAATAATATAATAATACTGTCCCTACATCGTGAACGGAAATATTGTCCTTCAATGACAGGAGAGTAATTAGCCGTCAAAAACACTTGGTAGTCCCCGCTAACTTATTGATTGTCACATGACAGGAGGGCAATCATTTCCCCGACAAAGGTCAAATTAGCCGAGACTAATGTAATTGAATTGTCAAGCATTACTGTATAGGGATAAAACAAGTAACTTTTATTAATTCAGTTCAATTCCGGTAGTTACTTTTTTAAGATGTTGATAATACTAATGTTACATTGTATATTGAAAAAAAAAACACCCCACAATACCAATTCTTTTTGATTTTACTCTTGGGTCCATTAATTTAAATTTGAAGATTTTTGTTTAAGGTTGAGGGTCATTGTTTTAGTAAATGGGCTGTTTTACTCTTTCATGGTTTATTCTAGTGGGCATTGCTCTACTTTGTTGGTCTTTGTTTTACTGTAGTGGGCATTGCCTTACTTTGTGGATCTTAAATGTTTTACTTTAGTGGGCATAGCTTTACTTGAGGATCTTTATGTTTTACTCTAGTGGGCATTGATTTACTTTGTGGATCTTTGTTTTACACTAGTGGGCATTGATTTACTTTGTGGATCTTTGTTTTACTCTAGTGGGCATCTCTTTACTTTCTGGATCTTTGTTTTACTCAGGTGGGCATTGCTTAACTTTGTGGATCTTTGTTTTATTCTAGTGGGCATTGCTTTACTTTCTGGGTCTTTGTTTTACTCAAGTGGGCATTGCTTAACTTTGTGGATCTTTGTTTTACTCTAGTGGGCATTGATTTACTTTCTGGGTCTTTGTTTTACTCAAGTGGGCATTGCTTAACTTTGTGGATCTTTGTTTTACTCTAGTGGGCATTGCTTTACTTTCTGGGTCTTTGTTTTACTCTAGTGGACATTGCTTAACATTGTGGGTCTTTGTTTTACTCTAGTGGGCATTGCTTAACTTTGTGGATCTTTGTTTTACTCTAGTGGGCATTGCTGACTTTTGTGGATCTTTGTTTTACTCTAGTGGGCATAGCTTTATTCTGTGGGTCTTCGTTTTTCTCTAGTGGGCATTGCCTTTCTTTGTTTGACTGTAGTGGGCATAGCTTTACTTTGAGGAGCCTTGTTTGAACATTGCTTTGCTTTGTGGGTCTTTGTTTTTCTCTAGTAGGCATTTACTCTAGGTTGTTGATATAGTGAGTGGAACATTTTGCTCAAGGGAGTATTGTTGATTTAGTTTGTTGCTATACCAGTCAGAAAATTCAGTTGAATTGCCTATATATTTATGTAAGTGTATGTATTTGTATTTTATGTAATATTTTGACATTATTTTATTTCAGGTGAAGAAGTTGGATCGTCATGGTCACAAAGTCACCAGGGTCACCAGGGTCAACCACCTGGGTACAATGAGTCAAGAGTATGTATATTGAAAATCAAATTTTTATCAAGATTATTTTCAAATGTAGTTTATTTTTAAAAAAATTATTAACCTTGGCAAATGTACCAGAAGACTACAAAATTTTTGGAACCACATAGCCATTTATACAAGTAGTTTTAAGACTATACAAGTGTTTTTAAGACTAATACATTAGTACAGCCTCCATGGTCGAGGGGTTAGAGTCGAATACTTCTAATCCAGTTACCTCTCTGGCCTGGGTTCCATCCCCGGGAGATAATTTGGTAGTTTAGCGCGGAGGAAGGTTGTCTAGTACTGGTGTAACTCTCCAGGAACGATGGTTAGGAAACTACCTGCCTATATGACTGAAATACTGTTGGGAAAAGGCGTAAAATGAAACAAACAAACAAACAAAGCTAATAAATTACAAAACATAGATGATATCTGATTGGCCAAGTGATTTTATAAGGCATATCTAGCTTATGTTACTTGTAATAAATACTTTTAAGCTGACATATGAATTGTTTTAACAGCATGTGATGCTCTTGTGTATGATTTGTTGTTTACATAAGATCGTTTGAAGTTGTGTTTGATCTTTATTTTCAGATGTTTTCTGACAATCAGAATTTCAACAACGGTCATCCAGATAATATGCACCCATTTGTAAATAATAATGACATAATAAGTAAGTAAAAATGAGTAATAAGTAAGTAAAAGGAGTAATAATTAAGTAAAAGGAGTGATAAATAAGAAAAATGACATAGTAAGCTAGTAAAAATGAGTAATAAGTTTTTAACGACTTTCAGGTTTTATTTTCTATTTGAAAAACAATTCTATTTTGTTCCAAACTAAGTATTTCAGTAACTTTATCTTGGAAAAGTGTATCATAATTATGACGCATCAGTGACGATTGTTTCTTAAAATAGATCAGGAAATGAATCGTCTTCTTTCCTAATGTAAATCGATAGGTAAGGGGTCAGGAAACAAATCGTCTTCTTTCCTAATGTAAATCGATAGGTTAGGGGTCAGGAAACAAATCGTCTTCTTTCCTAATGTAAATCGATAGGTTAGGGGTCAGGAAACGAATCGTCTTCTTTCCTAATGTAAATCGATAGGTTAGGGGTCAGGAAACGAATCGTCTTCTTTCCTAATGTAAATTGATAGGTTAGGGGTCAGGAAACGAATCGTCTTCTTTCCTAATGTAAATCGATATGTTAGGGGTATGGACGAGTTTCCTTATTGGTTAAGATTTCAAAATCAGAACTGACTGAACAGATCTTGGAATGCTCTGGTGGCATAGGCGGCTATCTACCTCAGGATGTGGAAGGTCGTTGGTTTTACCATACTAATGTTTTAAATATTTTTCTCAGAATTGCAAACATTGTCCTCTTGTTTGTAAAAGCTGAAAGCGTACTGTTACAAAACTAAAGCCTACTGTTACAAAACCTTTAGTGTTGGTATGAGTTGAAACAAGAGACAAGATTGAGACAAGAGAAATCGGTGAACAGTGTAAAGAAAATTATAATTTAAATGATTTATAGTTAGGAGATACAATGAATGATTATGTTATTTTTGTTGTTGTTTTTTGTAGATAAAAATTCAGATCTTCCATACAGAAGTTTTAACAGGGACAGTATGACCCCTCAGGTACAATTTTGTAAAAAATAATTTATGTTGTAACAAAATAAAGGTCATCTTACGCTTTGGAATCAGTCTATAAATATAGCAAGTAAAGTGTTGGAATTTTTAGTCAGAAAATTGATTAGGAGATATTCTAAGCAATTGATTTAATATTTGTATTGTTTGCCACGTAATTTAGGAAAATTAAAGATACCGAGACTTGGAACTATTTTCTTTCGGAACTATTTTCTATGGGAGGAAGTAATAATGTCAGCTCGTGAGAAATTTGTCACATTTCATGTCTCTAATTAGCACTAGTCTCAGATGGTCAAGAGAAGGTTTCTGTCGCTTTCTAGTTCCTTATTTGGTATTTATCTGCCCCTTGAGATACTCTCCGAAATGGAGGAGAAGTGAATTCTTCAAAAGGAGGCAGAAAAAGACCCCAAAGAGAGTATCCGATTATTTGCTCACTTGACAATGGAGATTTTTTCCCTAATTAAGCTGAGTAATGCAGTTTCAGGAATCTATTTTATAACTTAATATACTGACTATATAGTATACCTATATAGTATACCTAAATTGATTGAGGTGTCAGTATTCCAGAGTATTTTGTAGAGGTCAGGAACGAAACATGGTCATGATGATTTAAAAACAGAAACAAAGACATAAAGATGAAAAAAAAGAAAGAAAAAAAAAAGATTTAAAATTTAAAAAAACAAAAACAAAAAAAAACAACATTGCTCGTAAACAATTAAAAGACTTATATCTTGGCTTGTAGAAGATGATTTTATAAATCTGACCAATCAAAATACTAAAAACAAATGACAGTAGTGAAGATGTTTCTACAACAATGAAAGAAAGCGTTTTTTTTAATGCCACCCGATCCTATACATTGTATTAATTGCCATGAAATCTGAAAGAAAATAGAAAACTAAATCTGTTTTAGTTTTTTCCTATCGTAATTGGAATGGAAACCATAGCTATTAACATCATACAAAACAATGATCAAAGATCCGATCACAAACAAGTGAAATGCGAGTAGGGGAAACATTAGAGAACGTTGTAACAAAAGTTAACGACTTTGTGTGAAGCAAATCCCATTGTATTTTTTTGTTGTTTAATGAAATTATAATACAGCGAAATAAAACACCTCCCTTTAAATGGCAATCAGCGGTAAACGTCTATGAATGGGTAGCTTGAAAAATATAAATGTGTAATAAATATCTTTGTGATTAGTTATATTAAAATGGTTATATTAAATATCTGTGTAATTGGTTATGTAAATCATCTTTGTGCTGGTTTTGTCAAATATCTTTGTGATTGGTTATATTAAACATGTTTGTAATTGGTTATACTAAAATGGTTATATTAAATATCTGTGAAATTGGTTTTATCAAATATCTTTGTGATTGGTTATATTAGGATGGTTATATTAAAAATCTGTGTAATCGGTTATGTAAATCATCTTTGTGCTGGTTTTGTCAAATATCTTTGTGATTGGTTATATTAAATATGTTTGTAATCGGTTATATTAAAATGGTTATATGAAATATCTTTGAAATCGGTTTTGTCTAATATCTTTGTGATTGGTTTTGTCAAATATCTAAATATATGTGTCATTGGTTATATTAAGATGGTTATACTAGAAATTTGTGTGATTGGTTTTAATTAATGGTTATATTAAAAGTCTGTGTAATTGGTTATTTAAATATCTGAGTGATCAGTTAGGTTAAATATAATTATGTGTAATTGGTTTTATTAAATGTCTATGTGTCAGTGGTTATATAATATATCTGTACAATAGGTTATATTAAATATTATTGTCACTGGTTATATTATTTGGTTATAATATCTGCTTATTGTTTATATAAAATATTTGTTTGATTAATTGTATTAAATGTTGGTGTTTTTGGTTATATTAAATATCTGTGTAATGGATTATATTAAATGTATGATTGATTTTATATTCAATATATGTGTAATTGATTATATTATATATTTGTGTGATTAGTTACATTAAATATATGTGTAATTGGTTATATATAAAATGTAAAATCAATTTAATTTAAGCTGCACAGTTCCTCCTAAATAAATTTTCAAAAGAAATAAAAAAAACTTTAGAAAAATGTTTCTCATTTGCTGTAGCCGCAACACTGAAGGATTTCATGAACATTTTAAAGACCAATAGTATCTCAGTATATTTTTAACTCGGGTAAAAACGTTTGAAACTTAGACTCTTCCCCTTTTCAAAGACCAATAATAAGTCAATTGGAAAAGATTCCTGTATCTGATCTTATCAAGATTTCAACCAATCAAAATAATTTTCCTTTTCACGATTTTTTGCAGATATGAACTAATTGGTTTTGTATGACGCCAGCTGAGCACATCTATAAATTCACGCCATTTTAGAATCCTGATATATTAAATGATATTTTTATACCACTTTTTCAATGCATCAGAAATCTGTGCAAAGTCTGTATTCTCAGAGAAATTCCGCAAATGTCATAGCGTATCGACCAATCAGAGGGATTGTTACATTTTAAGTGAGGTCTCTCGTCCAATAAGAATGCCCGTTACATTTTTTTTGAAAAGGGAGAATCAATTAGTCTATGGGTGAAGAGTCTTGGAAATTGTAAGCTTACACCAGTTGGCAGGCATATGGGACTTGCTAGGAATACTTTAACTGTGGACATTCGGATTTTATGCGTTAATTTTGCGAATGATTAATCTTGCGCTATCGGCACCTGTGCGCTCTTGCAAAATTTTTATTCATTGACATTTTATAGGAACGGTGAAAGGAAAATTATAAATAGCATATAATGATGTAACGCGTCAATTGTCATAATCGCATTTTCATAAAATGTTGAATGAAAACGTTGTTTTTCATTTATTTGCTATTGTTGTCGAAAATTTGTAAAAAATTTGAATCCATGTCTTTTGAATGGTGTTTCTATGAAAGGGCTTTTATTTAAATTTAGTGAGAATTGTGTCAACTGGTAATTTATGTTGGCCTTATTTTCCGACAAAGGTTTTTATGTCTGTAGAATGATTTTCTTATGTATGCTTTTTTTCCTGGCCGCAATTTCTGACGAAAGGGATTTAGTATTTTGCGTAAAATCTTCGTAAACGTCTATGCTATTTTCTACATTTTTTTTTACACCCGAATGATTTTTTTATAAACTGTACAGATTGATTGTTTCGTAAAGCAACAGAGCTTTAATTTGTTTTATTGAATTTTATATTTTCAAAGAAATACAGTGGGACTTTTTCTTTCCTTTTGTTTTTCAAGTGGCTTTATTTAACAAAGTTGAAAATGCGTTTTTTATTGCTTTTTTACTGCCTTTGTTTTTTACTTTCTGCGACAGCTTGATGTTGATATAAATCTTGATAAAGAAAAACGAATGTTTTAATTTGAGACCATGATTAATGTACATCTATTATAATCGTTAGGTTTATAGCTATCGTTCGTTTTTCTTACAAGTAAATTATTGACGAAATCGTAATATTCGTAAGGAGAAGCAGCCTTGTGGCTCCATACCGCCTACTGGTAAATGTGGCAGTTTTATTTAAGCTTAATAATATTCAGTGATATGTTCGACTCTGAGCTGGGGACATTACCGGTACCAGCAATTTTTGCAGTCAGACTGTCTTAGCGGGCGGGCCGATACTAAGATTTTGATTATCTGTGGGGAAATTACCAGAGATTTTTGCAGTCAGACTGTTTAAGTAGGGCGGGGCTGATACTAAAATTTGGATAATCTATGGGGAAATTACCAGAGATTTTTGCAGTCAGACTGTTTAAGTAGGGCGGGGCTGATACTAAAATTTGGATAATCCATGGGGAAATTACTAAAGATTTTGCAGCCGGGCTGGGCCGATACTTAGATGTTGATATTCCATGGGGAAATTACTAGAGATTTTTGCAGCTGGGCTGGGCCGATATTAAGATTTGATTATCCATGGGGAAATTACCAGAGATTTTTGCAGTCAGACTGTTTAAGTAGGGCGGGCTGATACTAAAATTTTGGATAATCCATGGGGAAATTACTAGAGATTTTTGCAATCAGACTCAGCAAGGCGTGGCCTTTACTAATATTTTGATAATCCATTGGCAAATTACCAGAAATTTTGCAGTCTTAGCAGGGCGGGGCCGCTACTAAGATTTTGATTATCCATGGGGAAATTACTAGAGATATTTGCAGTCAGCCTGTCTTAGCAGGGCGGGGCCGCTACTAAGATTTTGATTATCCATGGGGAAATTACTAGAGATATTTGCAGTCAGCCTGTCTTAGCAGGGCGGGGCCGCTACTAAGATTTTGATTATCCATGGGGAAATTACTAGAGATATTTGCAGTCAGCCTGTCTTAGCAGGGCGGGGCCGCTACTAAGATTTTGATTATCCATGGGGAAATTACTAGAGATATTTGCAGTCAGCCTGTCTTAGCAGGGCGGGGCCGCTACTAAGATTTTGATTATCCATGGGAAAATTACTAGAGATATTTGCAGTCAGCCTGTCTTAGCAGGGCGGGGCCGCTACTAAGATTTTGATTATCCATGGGGAAATTACTAGAGATATTTGCAGTCAGACTGTCTTAGCGAGGCGGGGCCTCTAATTGAGGTTTTTCACTCTATTAATGTTAAGTGTGTCAAACTGGTGAAATTTTAATTGAGGCTGTTTACCTTGATGTTTGTTTCGCCATATTGGTGCCAACTTGAAATGTACTTAGGATTTGAACACCAGCAACTTTCTGTTGTTTTGCTCTGCAAATCTTAATTGAGGCTGTTCACTCTAATTGTGTTTTGCAAATTTTTTTACTGGCTGTTTACTTAACGTATTTTACCTGTTTAGGCATCTTTATCTAACATTTTATATTGAAATATGTATTTTACATTTACATATTGTTAACGCAGATTGTTGCCGTATGTGTTCTAAATATGTGTTGTCAGATGACCTGTTTCATATTTTAGAGGGATACTTTTCACTTTAAAACGTATTGTTACGTTGCATATGAGGACATGAGGCTGTTGATGGAACTTTGTGTTGTTGCCATTTAACATATTGCGGAGTCGAGTAGGGAATGTTCACACGTGCATAACATACGTATTTACACGTTGTTCAAATACAGGTTTTGCATTACACACATTGTTTGTTTAAAACATTGCAAAATTAAAGAGAAACTGTTCACCTTGCATGTAATATACATAATATACCTACGACTTGTTGACGATTGTTTAGTATATTGTAAAGACAAGTGTGACACTTTGGTGAAAGGACGTTTAAATTCAAATTTCCATACGAAAGAAGTACAGGATGGAGCATGAAATGGGGATGTCGGATCCTTCTTGGCATCTAAGTTATCCGCAAGGATACATCAACAATTATTTTGTAAGAAAGTAGTTCCCATCCTTTGTTTGAAAATTACTCATTTATAAATACAGTAAACTCCACTTATAACTATATCAATTATAACAATATATTGCTGTTGCCGCGGTCTTGACTCTCATTTTCAATTGGTTGCCTCTCGGCTATAACCCCTGCCTATTGTTATAAGCGGGGTATAATGTATTAATACCTTCTTGTAAGTAAGTAGATCTAGGTTCATTTTATAAACAAGAAAAAAAAATACTTCCTCTTCCTCTCTAAAGATTTGTTTAAAGAAAATAGTTTCCCATATGTCAGTTCCCCTCTCTAAAAAGAGTTGTTGAAAGAAAATAGTTCCTCACACATCAACAATGTCTTCAGAAAAAAATAGTTCCGAATGTAAAATAGTTCTTTATCTCTTACACAGACAATTTATTTTGTAAGAAAATAGTTCCTGTTTATGCAAATTATGCAAACAATTATTTTGTGAGTAATGAAAAATGTTCGCAATAGACTAGAAAAAAAGTGATTATAACATGTAAATGTTTGGTTATTTTAGAATATGATGGGCAATACATCTAACATACCAATGTCACCTGAGCAATTATCGCCACGGAAACAGATGTCTCCATATTATCAGAATTATAAACAGACTCCAATGGACGAATCTATAAGAGGTAACGATGATCATTTCAGATTTGAACCCTAAGCCTGCTGGAACCGAAAATGACTAGCTTTTGCCATTAGTGTAGAGCTCGAACAGGCTTCACATCTTGTAAGGTAGCTTAATTGTAGAAATATCTGCTGTGCTACCTAGGGATCTTGAGTTTGAGCCCTACCTGGGCTTCATCCATGATTCCTCATGTGACATATTGGTACTGGTTAGTTCCAGGAAGTGGACTTGAGGACAATTAATATAGCTACTGGACTGTAGCCTGATTAATATAAGTTGCAAGAACATGGCAGTCTGGCTAGATGGTTTACACATCAGACTAGAAATCTTAGGATTGCTGGCCATGTGGGTTCAAACCCAATTTTTGCGAACCGTTGTTTCTGTGGGCACTCATTGCTCAGTATTGGTTGGTTCCAGTAAGGGATTGGAAAGTGTGTCTATGAGCTTTCTACAAAATCAAACTAAAATAATCAATTTAAGTAAATTCTGTATTAACCAAGTAAGTCTTAGATTCTGTGTATGCTTTCTACTTGGTTAAGTTGACTATAGGCAAGTTGATACAGATAAAAGTGATTGTATCAATTTCTGTCTTAAGAATGTTACAGAGCGATCACAAAGCATTACAAAGCATTGTCCAGTTAACAAATATGATATTTTTCCCGATGTTATTTATTCAAATGTTGTTTTCTTTGTCCACAGGTCGAAGAGGCAGTGGTCAGTCCAACACGAAAAGACCTAAAGGCTCGGTAAGTGTTTATATGTGTAGTATTAGGAAATAGATATCAATATGAGCTTACCGAAAGTCAGTCTACTGTTCGTGCCTGAAATAATGCACAGAATGGCACCAGTCCTTAGGTCTTTCTCAACCAGTTACCACCAGTAAAGCTTGAACGTAAAGCTATGACCTGTGCTGTGTCTGTGTGACGTACAACCCATTCAAACAAAAAAGATATCACTTTTGTGTGCATTGTCGTACAGAAATGCAGGGGTCAAGTTCAAATGGGCAGTAATAATATCATGAAGTCTGGTAGACCTAAATAATTAATTAAAAAGCATTTGAACATTATATACTAACATGCAAGATAAAATTAATATCTATTTCCATTTTAACATTTGAATAAAAAAAAACCAACAGAATTTATAAAAATATGTTGAATCGTGCATTAATTTTATCCTCTAAATATGTTATTTGAATTTTATTTGTTATCTTAATTTCCATTGCTTAATTAGGGATCTCATATTTATTAAGGAAAAAATTAAAAAAGATTGTCTATTGTTTAACGCCATACTATTAATTGAATATTTGATAGCATACATGTACGAGATTTAATGTATAACATACATGTTCAAGTTATATCAGTTTTACCGCAATAGCAAGATACGTTTTAAAAAAAAAATCTATACTGGTTTTTGCTTTTTCTGATTTGTTTTAGTGTTAACATTTAAAATGGGAAGCTATTGTAACAAAGTGTTAATTACCCCATACATATATTGGCTTGTATTTGATTGAGATGGTCACAGCTTGCTGTTTGAAATGGTGAACTAGGTTAGGTAAAGATGTGGAAATAGGATACATGCTGCACTGAAAACCTGATCAATGGTTTTATAGATGTTTTCTTGAAAAAAAAATGTTCTTGAAAAAAATATTTCTGACAAATTTTCTGACAAATATTTTGAAATGGCTGTTGTCAGATGTCTTTATTCTTTTACGTTATTGTTGGTTTGTCTGAATCAGGGGAGAGCATCATATTTCGTAATTTAAAGGGGCCGATGGTAAGATTCTCGAAGCAACAATTTATCCATGACAATATTGATCTTGGGCATAAAGCTAATGATAATTTGTCTAGAAAAATCTTGTCACTTAAGAAAAAGATAACTATTGGTTAGTTATCCAGGAAAGCCATGTTAGGGCTTAGAATTGAGATATTTCCAGAAATGAATTTAAACTGGCATGTCAACCAGACAAACAAACATAGAAACATGATTTTATAGAGCTAGTTCTTGTTCTAGGCAGTCAGTTGCAGAGAAATTGGAAATACCTTGTTAGTATATATATAATATCCTAGAAAACCATGGTGATTTCTACTGCAAGATTTGACCAAAATCATGGTAAATCAACTAAAAAAACATAATTAGGAAAAAGCAAACAAATATCTACATAATTATGGATAAATTGTTAATTTTGATTTCATTTTAATTGTAATAAATAATAATGTGTTGTTTAAGAAACAGTTAATTGTCTGGTTCCACCAGATCATTTCCCCCTTCAGATAAGATTTTACCTGTCGTTATTTTTGAAATCTCATTCGAAGGTTTCTTTGACTGCTATGTTTACTATTGTTTTACATTTGAAGTCTAATCTAAGAGTTTGAGGGCTTCCCTGTTATTTATGGACTCAACTTTTGTATTTGTTACTTTTAACAATACTGTAGGAGCGTCTATGGCTAAGTGATTTCTGACTTGTAATCACTGGCCACATACCACAATTGTTTCAAATCCTGCCTGAGATTTTTGATACTGTAATGGAAATTTAGGGTTCTAGAACCCCTTTATTATTTTGTTGACGTAATCTGTATTTTGTTATTTTTGTTGTCTCGTCATAGGGTTTTAGGTCCGCTGGATTTATTTATTGACACAACTGCGGTTAAGGAGTTTCTTTTATCAGCATTAGTGCAAGTACTGTGTAAAATATTTCTCTATCCTAGACAGCCACAAATCTTTAGGGAAATATAAAGTCGAATAATCTGGCACCGAATCCAGTTTTTTTTTCTTCTCATTTTATTTTATTTCCAGTATAAAAGCCATTTTCTACCAGTTTTCTTTAGAATAAGGATAACAGGTGCTTTTTATTTACTGTATAGTTTAAACAGGGAATATTAGCTGTGAGTATTTTGTGATAATTTCTCACCATCTGGTCTCCGTTAAACTGGAGTAGCAGAAAATCTGCCGAAGCAGCTGCTTGTTCATTCATAAATCACAGAGTTACTGTTCTTGACTGGCAGTGTCAGTTATGACTGCAAGAGTGACTTCCCTTTTCCTTTTCATATTGTTGTTAAAGAAGATGTGATCACACACTTAAAAGTCTTTTTTAGACTTAAGAGTTCTTGTAAATTTGTTTACAGGAGAATTTGCGTTGACGGGAAAAGAAAGTTGCTTGTTGTAGTTTAAAATATCTTTGGGTTGATTTCTGTTTATTGTCTGTTTATTCATAAACAATTTTCATATACACTTAAATCTTATAACATGTTTATATTAGTATTAGGCAAAAAAAATCGTCAAGAAAACAAATTACCATTTGATGTTGAAGTGGAATATAAAGAATAGAATAATGAAATGAGGTAACAGTAAGTAAAAATATAGGGAATACAGTAAATTCAAGGGAATATGGGAAAAGTAAATTTGAAGTGAATGTTGCAACTAGTATATTAAAGGAAATAACGTAAAAGTAATTCAAAGGTATATTAAAGTAAAATAGAGGTAATTTCATAAAAGTATGTCAGAAGGAATATGTAAAAGAGTATTAGATAAAGAATATGGTTTAAGTACATTGGAAAGTATATGGAAATCATAAGCAAGTGGGTAAATGGTAAAAGTCAATTAGAGGGGAATGTGGTAAAAATAAACTAAAAGAAAAGTAGAGGGAAATGGTTAAAGTGAATTAGAGGGAAAGCGGTAAAAGGAAAAACGAAAGGAATATGGTAAAAGAAGATTAGAAGTAATATGGGGAAAGTGAATTTAGGAAAAGTTAATTAGAAAGAATATGGTAAAAGTAAATTTGAGGGAATATGGGAAAAGTGTATTAGAAGGAATATGTTAAAAGTGGCTTAGGGAGTATAATTTTAGAGAATATATGGTTATCATAGATTAGAGTCTATATGGTAAATGTAAATGGCAGTAGATAGTAAATAAGAGTTTAATGTAATTTAGAGGGAATATGGTAAAATTAGTTTAGAGAGTATACGGTAACTATAAATTAGAGAGTATACGGTAACTATAAATTAGAGAGTATATGGTAACTATAAATTAGAGAGTATATGGTAACTATAAATTAGAGGGTATACGGTAACTATAAATTAGAGAGTATACGGTATTTATAAATAGAGGAAATATGGTAAAATTAGTTTAGAGGGTATACGGTAACTATAAATTAGAGAGTATATGGTAAATGAAAATGGCAGTAGCTTGTAAAAACTGCACAGTGATTAGGAATGTGTCCAGAATTAGATAATTAATTCTCCAGGAAACTCTAGCAGAGAACAATGTTAATCTAAAACATCTGGTTTCAATCACATCCACTCTCATGGGAAGGAGAAAGCCATGGCGTTTGAAAAGTGGAGCATATGTAGGTAAAAAAACCAGGCATCAATGATTTTGAATGGGAAAATAGTAGTTAAATTTTTTTATATATTTTTTCTATATTTTTTTCTGTTTTTGTTCATTTTGAAAGTTTTATTGATTTTAAAGGCTATGAAGTTAAGTAATTTAATGGACTGATGGTAAATTAGAAGAAAACTGGGAATATGATATTATTGGTAGTGATAAAACAAGGGTGTTTTTTAAAAAAAATCAAACCAAAGTATCATTAATTTGAAAGAATAATATTTGGTTGATACAGTCTAAACCTTTGCTGAAGGGGTTCCTTGAAGGGCAGTAATCCTCTTCCACATACCCAAGGAATTATATTTAGGAAGAGATGGTTAGGAAGAAGTCAAGTAGTAGCTTTCTGCCTGTCCATGCACTATTGGGGTCCAATAAGAGAAAAAGTGCAAAAAAACTGTCCATGAAAAATTGCCATGGAATGAAAGAAATATATAAGAAAAATCATCAATGTCAATGGGTTTAGCATAGCTATGAAAACATAATATTGTCAATAGAGTTAAGTATAGGAGAAAAAAACTGATTATTTTGCAACATAAAATTTAGAAGGAAAAATAACGACAAACAACAAAAATGTATAGAAAACAAAGATTTTTGTCAATGAAACGTTTCTGCAGTGTTATGTCAGCAATCAACGTCTATATCAAGGCATGGGTGTGAGAAGTGTGTGAAGTGCGTGAAGTGGGTACTTGAGTGTGACATCACCAAAGTTAACGGTTCTGTTCGCACATCTATAAGCATGTTTTGATGAGGGGGATTATTGGCACTTACGAAAGCAGGATAAATACGCATTGATCTATTTGATTCTAGTATTATATAACAATTGTTTCCCCATTCATTCTATGTTGGTACACTTACTATTAATACCATGTCAGAGTCCGTATCAGCTCTGTACAAGACCGCAGTCACATAGTCCTGAAAACATTATAGTCCTGAAGATAATTGTTGCCAATGTTAAATGCTTAATATCATTGTTTGTGTGTTACTGTGCATGTACTAGCAATATCATGCAGGAGTTTATATGTTGTTTGAATAAAGGGCTATAACCCAGTTTTAAAAAGAAGTTATTGGCAATGTATTTGATTGGTCAATCACTGGTATTGTGGGGTTCATGTCCAAGTTATGGCTTTATTACCACACTTAATATCTAAAATGGTATCTTTACCACACTTACCACACTATCTTTAATGGAAACCTTTACCACTCTAAATATCTTAAATGGAAACCTTTACCACACTAAATGTATAAAATTGAAACCTTTATCACACTAAATACCTTTAATGTAAACCTTTACCACACTAAATATCTTAAATTGAAACCTTTACTATGCAAAATAGCTGAAATGGAACCCTTAACAAATGGAAACCTT